AGCAATCCAAAACAGTCCAGTGGCAGCTTTAAGACCAAGTTTTATTCAGGTACAAGCTCTCCCTCCTCTGCTAGGGCAGATCTGCATGTCCCCATCCCCCCCCCCCGCTACCAATCCAAAACAGTCCAGTGGCATCTTTAAGGCCAAGGTTTATTCAGGTACAAGCTCTCCCTCCTTTGCAAGGGCAGATCTGTGTGTCGTCCCCCCCCCCCCATAGCTAGCAATCCAAAACAGTCCAGTGGAGCCTGAGCAGTGGGTGTTGCCTTCTGACACACTTCCGGTGATGTCAGGGGGTGTGGCATATACAACTAATTTATGCTAATGAGTTATGCTAATGAGCCCCTGCACCTCTTTTTCTACGAAATGACCCCTGGTTACAATAGCTCAGTTTTGTACAGCACTATTTTTGTTCAAGTAGGCTCAACTGACATTACAGCTATGACGCTGGTGTTCACAGCAAGGCTGGATTCCCATGCTACCACAAGCAGAGGTTTCCTGTGACAGTTTTTGCTGTGCTCATGTGCTCTCTTCACCCTTCCCAATATGACTGAAGGCATCCAGGTTTGAGAAATCTTAAATCAAATTAAAACCACGGAGGTGATGTCCAAATGCACCCCTCCAGTCTGAGGAAACCCCGAAGTGGATGTAAAGGGTTGCCAACAGTCTACCACCCACCAGGAATTAGTCATATTCCTATGTACTAGTCAAGTTAAAAATCTCTACCCATGATTCAGAAACTCTCTCGGCAAGCAGCCACACTTCTTACCCTGGTTTCAATTCAGACTGGTGTCTCACTGCACTGTAGCGGATGGCAATTGTACATGCTCTGGCTAAAGACCGCGCAGAATCACCTACAATGATTGAGCGGATAAATACCATGGTGCCATAGGTCAACTTGTCACTAAGAGGTTTCACATATGTGCCATCTGGTTCAACCTAGGAGATGGAAACAGCACACTGATTTTAAGGCTCTGTTCATGTAGCATCATGTTTATAGTCTTAAGCGGCTACATTTGTAAGGGGTGGAGGTTGAAGAAAATTCCACTGGCTTGCTGACAAGTTTAATCTGGGCTATGTTTGTTCTCTCCATGCAGGGACTTAATCAGGACAGGGCCAGAGGCACAAGCTCTTGGGTATAAGCCAAAGGGCTCTTGGACCTTGGTTCACAGCCTGAGTCCTGCAACTCCTCTCAGTGGACCAGGACCAGCCCAGATATATTTCTGATTTCCTCTTATTTGTTTGAACAGTTTGGTTAGTTTGGCATTCTCTGTACACCTCTTTGGGTCCCTTTGGGGAAAAACCCAATATAGAATTGCTTTGATAAGTATACAGCTTGCTTTGCCACAGGACACACACAAACATTAGCTTAGGCTAGCAAGAGATGCTAAAAACAACAAAAAAGGGTTCTTTATGTTCAAAGTAAGAAAAAGAACAATGACACGGTAGGCCCATTGTGGGGACAGGACAGTGAAACTGTAACAGGTGATGGAGAGGGAAGAACCTGCTCAGTTCCTACTTTTCCTCAGTCTTCTCTTGCAAGGGAAATGGTGCTCAACATGGCAAAAACAACACACATGATGAGGGAAGGGAATTGCAACCTAGGATCAGCATGGGGATAGTACATTAAACACCTAGTTTTTAAAAATGAAACTAAGTCCTCGGGGCTAGATGAACTGCATCCCAGGGTACTAAAAGAACTCGTGGATGTAATCTCTGAGCCACTGTCCATTATTTTTGAAAATTCTTGGAGAACAGGTAAAGTGCCAGAAGATTGGAGGCGGGCAAATGTTGTCCTCATCTTCAAGAAGGGGAAAATGGAGGATCCGGATAACTACTGACCTATCAGCTTGATGTCTATACCTAGGAAAGTTTTAGAACAAATCATCAAAGAGTCAGTTCTTGAGTATTTAGAAAGGATGGCTGTGATTACTAAGAGCCAGCATGGGTTTCTCAAGAAAAAGTCATGTCAGACTAACCTTATCTCTTTTTTTGAGAACGTTACTACCTTGCTGGATCAGAGGAATCCTACAGACATAAACTGATTTAAGTAAGGCTTTTTTATAAGGTTCCACATAATATTCTTATAGACAAATTCGTAAGATGTGGTTTGGATCCTATTACTATTAGGTAGATCTGTGACTGGTTGACAGATTGCACCTAGAGAGTGCTTGTAATTGGTTCCTCATCCTCTGGAGAGGAGTGACAAGTGGAGTGCCTCAAGGATCTGTCCTGGGACCTATTTTTTTCAACACCTTTATCAATGATTCGGATGAAGGGATAGAGGGAATGCTTATTAAATTGGGAGGGGTAGCAAATATAGCAGAAGATCGAGGACACAGGATAATGTTGACAGGATGGAAAACTGGGCTAAAACAAATAAAATGAATTTCAATGGGTATAAATGCATTTAGGAAGAAAAAAATCAAACACATAATTATAGGATGGGGGAGACTTTTCTTGGCAGTAGTATGTGTGAAAAGCATCTAGGGATCTTAGTAGACCATACACTGAACATGAATCAGCAGTGTGATGTGGTAGCTAAAAAGGCAAATGTGATTTTGGGCTGTATCAACAGAAGTATAGTGTCCAGATCACGCGAAGTGATGGTATCACTTTACTCTGCTCTGGTTAGACCTCACCTAGAGTATTGTGTTCAGTTTTGGGCACCACAATTTAAGAAGGATATAGACAAGCTGGAACAAGTCCAGAGAAGGGCAACAAAGATGGTGAGGGGTCTGGAGAACAAGTCCTATGAGGAAAGGTTGAAGGAGCTGGGTATGTTTAGCCTGGAAAGGAGATGACTGAGAGGTGATATGATAACCATTTTCAAGTACTTGAAGCGATGTCATACAGAGGATGGTACGGAGTTGTTTTCTGTTGCCCCAGAAGGTTGGACCAGAACCAATGGGTTGAAATTAAATCAGAAGAGTTTTTGGCTAAACATTAGGAAGAACTTCCTGATAGAGTGGTTCCTCAGTGGAACAGGCTTCTTTGGGAGGTGGTAGGCTCTCTTTCTTTGGAGGTTTTCAAACAGAGGCTAGATGGCCATCTGACAGCAATGCTGATTGCGTGAACTTAGGCAGATCATGAGAGGGAGGGCAGGAAGAGTTGCATCAATGCTTAGTTCTTGTGGCCCCTTCTTACATGCCATGGGAAATGCTGATTGCCATGTTGGGGTCAGGAAGCAATTTTTCTCCAGGCCAGTTTGGCTGGAGATCCTGGAGGGTTTTTTTGTCATCTTCTGGGTGTGGAACAGCAGTCACTAGGGGTGTGGGGGAAGGTATTTGTGAATTTCCTGCCTTGTGCAGAGGGTTGGTCTAGATGATCCTGGAGGTCACTTCCAACTGTATGGTTCTGTTATTCTATGAAACATGCCAACAGGATGTTTTTTTAGAACAGCTTTCAAGGAACTACCTGGGACCAGGAAGGGAGAGGCTGCTACCACTTAGGCCTGCAGACTAGCACCTTTTCCAGCTCTTGTCAGTAGATTTAGATGTTTTGCAATTGGTGAAACAACCTTATGAAGTGCAAATGATAACAAGAAGCGACTGTGTGCATGCTGGCGTTTTGTATTAAAGGGATATCAGTAATGAATGCCTTGATGTATTTGGACTTTGTTTTTAAATTATGGTTTAAAAATGTGTCAACTGCTTTGGTTCCCATATTCCAGGAGAAAAGAAGCATATAAATATTCCACCCACATCCCACTTTTAGTTTAAATAAAAACATACAAATAACATTTAAATAAACCCCCATCTCTTCCAGCTTTAAATAAAATCACAGTTCCTCCAGCTACTCAGTGATGCATCCATGCTTATTATGAACTGGGGGGGGGGGGAATCAGATTACCCCAATTATTAAAAGGTCAGATTATGTACATGATAAAATTTAGGGTGGAGGATATCAGCTACTAAGTATGTATTATGAACATTAATTCAGTAGGCAGGGAGGAAGAAGTTGTGGCAGGAACCAGTATGAGGTTAATGGGCAGCAAACCCAACTGGCTATTAAGTTCAATTTATAGGAACAGGAAGACCAAGGAGATGTTTTCACTGATACTGGTGCCACAATCGTCACAAGTATAGTTTCTTCTCATTTTGTACAATCACAACCCTGATTCACTCCTAAAAAGAACCAGCTTCCAGAAAGCAAGAACTACAGATTAAGTAGAACTTTAGAAGTCAGCACTCCCTCGTAACAAAGTAGGATTTTATATTAACTCTTGATTGTTCTTCCTTTTAGCCCAGGTCAAGTGAAAAGCTAGCTCCTGAAAAACAGCATTTCTAAAATATAAAACAACTCTTCTGTTCAATAGAAAGCTTATCTGGGAGAAGAACACTTTAACTACAAGGGTCTCCTCTAAGCTGATTGAATAACCATCCATTTTAACTGCCAAACTACAAAGAGAGCACAGTTTACCTTGGCAAACTTCATTAGCATGTTCTCCCGGGGAATGCGGAAATTGTCCATTTTCAAGTAGCCGTTATCCATTTCATCGTAACCAAATTTTGGTCCAATGTCACCGACAGTAATGCCTGGCAAAGAGGGCACAGCAATAGGGATAAGTAGGAGACACCTTCAGGCTCTTAAGGTAGAGCTAAAGTGGTGTCCATAAGATAATACTCTGCCACAATAACCAGCTGTTAAGTATCACAGACTGGCAATGTGAATGCCATGTTCTTAACTGTTCTGCTGAGGAGCCTATGTAGCTTTGCCTGTGACTGCAAGGTCAGAGTTCATATTGTCAAACTTGAAGTAGCTGTATCTTTCATTCAACATAACAGCATGTGACTTCAAGAACAAACTTGCATTCTCTATGGATTCTCAAAGACTGGCTAGGCAAAACAAAGAATCCTGACTGTGGACAGAGACTGCAAAAATTGCTCCTCGAATCTGAGAAACCTCTGTCGATTAGGTTAGACATGATATGGTTTGCACAGCGTTCTTGCCTTTGTTTGCCTAAGCAGAGGGAAGAAGGTGCAGAGAAGGGAATGAATTCCTTCAGTGGAAGGTCAGTAGCATAAACTTCCAGCCTAGAGATCTAATCACAACACAGTACCATGGACAAAATGGGCCTCAGGTGAATGCTTAAACTGTTTCTGTACATATATGAGGATATTTTAGATCTTCATTTACAATTTTAGCTCTTCTCACTGTCTTGGAGACCTCTCTGAAGTGTCTTTATAAAAAATAATGTATTTATATAATCAGAAAAATGAATGTGAAATTCTTCCCACAGCCCTCTGGATTCTGACCAATGTCTCCTTATTTCAGAAGCTAGCATCAACCCACTTCCCCCTAAGCAAAGCACAGGCCCCATACCTGGCAGCGGTTCATGAGTTCCCAACTGGCGTATGGGCACAATGAATGCATGTAAACCATGGTTCTGGCCTTGTGTATGAAGCTGTGCCAAAACAATGGCGTGGTTTGATGTTTTACCCACTGGAAGGAAGAAAGAAAAACATGAGTCTGTGGAAAACTTCATGTAAACCAATAAATATAAATTATATCTACGTTTGCTGAATATTAACCTTGTTAGCCAGCAGTTAACATGACACATAAAACTGCCTTGTAGTGAATCAGACCCTTGGTCCATCAAAGTCAGTACTATGTACTCAAACTGTCAGTGGGCCTTCAGGGTCTCTGGGATAAGTCTTTCACATCTGCTACCACCTTATCCTTTGAACTTGAGATGCTGGGAATTGAACCTGAAACATTCTGCATGCCACACAGATGCTCTACCACTGAGCCAAAGTACCACCACAGATGCATGCAAAAGTGGTCAAACAGGCAAGTCTAAAAGCCTCACTTGAGAATGAACTTGGAAAAGACTTTTGCCTGCAATGTAGGAAATTTTACCCCAATAATAAGGAAAGCAGAGGGAGAACTGAGACAGAGCAGGAAACCTATTCAAGTAAGGTTTCCCAGAGAAAAACTAATCAAGCCTCTCAAATGTAACAGAACTTCCTGCTATCCCAGCCTCTCATGAAAGACCTGGAAACATGATGAATCTAAATGCTTTACATGGAAGAAAGCATTTATTTATGACTGGTGGCACCGTTATCTAGAGAAAGTCAGTTCCAGCCTGCTGATTCTACAACCTGGCCCCAGAAAAAGATGAACGACCTTTTAGAACCTAAGTGCTTTAAGAAAACATTTAGTTTCACTGTTTAGGAAGGAAAAAAAATATTCAGGCAGAAAATGGAAAGAATTTCTACTTTAATTTCAAAGTACTTCACTTACATCCACCTGGCCACCACTTAATAGAAGTCACAGTGGGACTGTTTAGGATGAATTCCTGAGTAGCAGGGTCATAGGTGGCTGTGGTTTCCAAGCCTCGGAGGTGAGTTCCTGTAGGCAGGCAGCATATGTTATCCCAACGGTCATGAAATCCAGCAGAGACACGCACAAAACTGGACATGTTTCAACTCCAGTGGAGATGCAAGTACAGATAAGCATTACAAGAGACAGAAAGGATATACCAGGGGGGTTTGCATTTAGAAAATGAGAAATCAGAAGTGCAAACAAAGCAACTACAGGTGCAAAAACTTGCAAACATTATTACTCTGGTTGATTCAACCATTAGTGTAAGATCATAAATCTGAACATTCTACTTTTTGGCACCTCCAGCCTGAAATCTTACTGGTTTTACAACCCTGTTTGCAATTCAGTTTCCTTGCCTAGTTTTCATTAAGTCATACACGTGAAGTTGAAGTCATAAATATCCATCAATGTCAATTAAAGAGCACTATGATTGAGTGTTCCCCTCTTAGTACCACTCTTATGGTAAGGTCATTTCTCCCAGATTCAGATACCATGGGGCTAAGGATCCACAGCTATCCTGGGTATTCAAATATTGGGTCCACTGTGCCTTTCATCTCCAAATCTTGACTTTTTTCATTTTAATTGATGCCTACAAGGAATGGCCTAATCCTTGGCATTAGTGCTGTGCGTGGAACCACAGGGTTTATTCAGACTGAACCAGGAAGCCTAATGGGTGTTGATGTATTTGTCCACCACGACTCACACAGAGTAATGTGACCTCTTCAAAATAAGAAGCGAAATTTTACTACAGGTTCAAAGTGGCCTGTGTTTTTGTGGTTTTTCGGGATGACAAATTCTCACTCCTCCTATGTACATTTGGAATGAGTACGTGGTATCTTTGACAGAGTCAGAGCAAGTTTAATGTATATATTTGGGACTTTGACAGTTTGAAACAGTCATAGAATTGTGAGCAAGGGACAGAGATGCACCTGTGGTCAACTATGTTGTCATTTACAAACTTATTCATCTTTAGCAAAACATGATGCATTCTACAGGTTAACAATTCCAACTTTCGGCACTTCAAAGGGAAGGAGCCTAGATGCTGGCAGTAGCAGTTAGCTTTAAATGTGAAGACAGTCTTGGATGTCTAAATTGATATCATGGATGTCTAAATTGATCCCATGGAGAATGCTTGTCCTTCTCAGGTGTTGGAAATGTTGTGTCATCCTCAGGGGTCGTTTCGTAGAAAAAGAGCTAGGGGAACTCATTAGCATAACTCATTAGCATATGCCACATACCCTGACATCACTGGAAGTGTGTCATAAGGCCACACCCCCTGACATCACCGGAAGTGTGTCATAAGGCCACACACCCCGCTGCCGGCCTTGCAGCTCCACTGCCGAGCCCCATGAGGGGCCCGGCAGTGGACCTGCAAGGCTGGTGGGAGTGCAAGGAAGCCCCGCGAAGGCCCTCCCTGGCCCCAGGCAGGCAGGGGTGGGGAGAGGCAGGGAGGAAGCAACTTACCCTCCCTCTTCTCCTGCCTCCTCCACCGCGATCCCCCGCGACCCCCCCCCCCCCGAAATGATCTCTGGTCATCCTGCATTCACCTCCCTCCAACTATAAAACTGAAAGCAATTTGCATCACTGTGTTTTAGGAAGATGAATGTGACCAGAAATGATGTTTGTAGTCTTGAGACTTGAAGACAGCCTGCCCTTTGCACAAATTCCCCATTAAACCTTCTGTTTACTCATTTTTCCCAGCATGCCTATAATATATTTATGATCCATTTAGTTCACAGTTGTAGACAGTCACTTACCAAGATGCTTGAGGCAAGTACGAATTACCTCCAGGCAACTGAGTAAGGATGTTTTTGTAAACTGGAAGAAAATTAGTTTCTCTCTCCCTGTCTTTTCAGGTCAGTAATGCTACAAATTATTAAACATAGCTAAACACATAGCTAAGCAGGAAGGCTTGTAACTTGCTCTTATTTACAAGGCTACAAGGAGTAATGGGTTCAATTTCCCATTACTTTCCTCTGTCAAACTACAAAAATGGGGAGGAGTGAGAGGTACTTGGAATGAAATATATATGCAACTTCCATCATTTAGTTCAACCAAAGAATTTATTTTACCATTTACAAAACTCAGTGGATCCATCAGTGAAAGGTGCTGATGGCTGATCTTTCCTACTTTCCCCTCTCCCTGAAAAGTTGATTCCTCGGGTTGTAGGATCCACAGGTCAGGAGACTGAAATGATGACACTGTTATTGGGAGACAGGGAAACTTTGTCTGCCTTCCATAGCAGTCTCCAGCCCCACATGGTTATTAGTTCACACAGATTCCGTAACCTGAGGAATCAGCCTTCCCAGGCTCAGATGGGACAGCTGGGGGGAAGGGAACACAGGTAAAATCTTGCCAACCCTTGTGCTGATGGACGGCAGGATCCAACCCAGTGTTTTGAATGCAGATTTCTACATTCTTGACCACAAGCAAAGTCGTCTTGCAGGGGGAAAATAATGGATTAGGACTATCCTAGCAGAAGATCTCAGATGAAGAATGTTTTGCGAGTAATTCCTTGGACCAATTCCCAAATAAAACAAAGCTGGACTGTTCTTTCAGTATTTCAATTAACCTCTGTTCTTCCATCCTTATGGTGAATATATTAATTAGGGCAAAAGGCATTCCAAAAATCCAGGTGGAGACAGTGGCGATGTATTCATTATCACCACACCTTATACACTGAAAACATTTAACTAACTGCATAATTGAGTGATTAACGTGCACTTCAATTACAGCTAGATGTACCAGAATTTCGTCACTACAAACTTAACTGATACTATCCTATGAATCACATGAACTCTTAAAATTTAAGGAGTTCATTACTCCCCAGGGCTCACAGAAAACTGGGGAGAAGCTTCCACTTTCTTTTGGAAGCTAAGGTTATCATCTATACAGATATGCTACCCTTGCAAGTAATACTAGAAAGTACTGTACCATGGCCCATCTCTGTCTGCGCATATGTGCCAATGATCTCCAAGTTCCAAGCAGGCATGAAGAAGCGATCCTGCTGTTCTTGGGTTGCTTGGGTTAGAAGGGTGGGCAGGAACATGCCCAGATGGAGGTCCAGAGGCTCAGGTCGTCCATGGTGAACAAAGCTGTGGAGAAATGCCGAGGGAAGGGAATGTGAAGGGATGTTATAGGGTTGAAGCAAGTGAGATTAGAGGTGTAGATCGGAGGGGGAGACAAAAATAATCGTGTGAATAAGAATTTAGCAAGCTCACTTTTGATCAAAACACCATCTTTTCCCTCACAGTTAGAGCAGTTGTAGAACTATGTGCCAGCGCCCAATGTTGAGGAGGATATTTTCTTCCTGTGGTTAAAATGGGGACATGATAGAGCTACCCTCTCTGCTGTAGCAACAAATCGTCCCCCCCCCCCTTACAAACCAATTCTGTTAGTGAAGCATTACCAGAAATGCTCCTGGGCTTTCATATGCCCCTTGAAAGTTGGTGTACCCCTAAACCAGTAACCCTAAAGCTACTGATTCTCATTTAAATCGGGTGCCAAGCAAAAAATGTGGACAAAAACCAGTTCAAATGTAACTGGCTTGCACTACAGTTTAAGGGTCCTTCCTCCTCAGATTAATCTGACCTCCTCTACTATGGATTTAAAATATTCTTCAAGAGTTCTCAAAGCTAAAATAAAGATGGTGTTCTGACTCAGCAATCAAAGCTAGTGAATGGATCCATAGCTTTGTGTAAAAGCCAACATTTACAAAACATAAGCCAATCACCAGAAAAGATCACCCCAAACCAAGCAGACATGCTTCCTTATGATAACCTCATGGAACGTCAGTGGGGTTTTCAACTCAGATTACAGTAGTAACATACTTGTGGTATTCTTACAGCTCCACACATCCTTGTGTGCAGTGCTAGTTTCACATGAGCAGATATAGTGATTAAAAGTATGAGCCAAGTGGTCCTTGCTGCAAATCTTGTCTCTGACATGACCTCATAAGCAGCACCAGCACAGCCTCTGCAATAACATCTCATATTTGCCTAGTTCACAAGATTACTGTAGAGAATGATTTAATCAGTTATGTTGAACACTTTGAAAACTTAACAGTGTACTATATAGATGCTGTGCTATTTCACTACCTGAGAACAATTTGGATTGTTCTTTGGTGCAAATGCCTCGGGGAAGTTTGCAGCTGGCTGCATAGCCTTCCCACAAAAATGCAAGCAGGACCACTTTTATGGATGCTAACCCTACCTTAGAAGGTGCCGACTGCATGGCAATACCAGCATCCAAACTGCAATATCATCATATGTCTAGCCCTTCTGAAGAACCCCTTCACATAACAGAAAGGTAAGGATGATAATACTTAAAAGATTTCACCAGAGAGTCATCTGTGATCATTCTCCAGCATGAGGAGAGACTGTGTCTTTGTAGTGACGTACTAAATTAATGAACAACAAATTCCATAAAATTCCATACGCAAATCTTTGTGACTGAGAAGCAGAACAGCAGATCTTTATCACAGACATCTCCACCTTGGGCATCCATTCTGCTGTACAGTTTCTAGATAACAATGCCCAGCGTTTGAAGTCTTAAAGAAAAGTGAGGTTTGCGGTCTAAGCATAACACTGCTGAGGCCCCACTTGGCCTCTAGATTTATTTACTGTTGCAAGGGGAGCTTTGGCTCCCCAATTCAGCAATAACAAAGACCTAGAGAAAAGAACCCCCTACTCAAACCAACAAGCCATTGCAAACGTTAATTTTTGAAGTTTGCCAACTTGCTGTTTTCAAACAGCCAATAAGATTTACTCCATGTGTACGACTGAAGAATGTTTAAGAGAAAACTCCCCCCCCCCAAAAAAAAAAAATTAAGGTCACTCCCAAGCCAGTCCCAGCCATGCTAGATATTTCACTCAAAGTTCCTATTCTAAGTCAGCACTAATCAGACTGCATTGTGTAGATTACCCAGCAACCAACAAGCAAGGACCTCTAGCATTCACATGCTATCAAAAACAATTATCTGAAACAGAAGATACAGTCATGCACCATCTTCCTCCAGGACTGTAAAAAGGTTAGCATGATTAGCTATCATCAACATACAGGTTAGCTGGCTGAATGATATCAACAGACTGACCCACAGGCAGGGAAAGAAGACACACAAGGCATGCAAAAAGAAATCACTTCCACGTACAAGGTCTGAGGAGGAGGGGAAAGGATGGCAACAAACAAGAGCAAGAATTTGCTTGTTCATATGATGTTCTATCCAGTTCACAGCCTCTGGCCTCCGGATAACTTGTTTGAAGTTCACCACTATTGCAGTCAAATGCCAGTATGATGCATTTCATTAAAACTGTTGAATGCTTTATAGCGGCAACATCAAGAGTTAACAATGTAGTCATCATAGAAAGTAAAAAACCCACACATTTGGCACACTGTTATCCATGTTTGTTGTAGACAGGCCACTGTAGAGTCCATTTCTTCTCTAGGGTGCTATACTGCATTCAAGCACCCCAAACTGAGTCATCAATCTGAACTAGGGCCTTGAGCTCTGACAAGTGTGGGGTGTTCCTCTCCCTCCCCCAATCACAGAGTTGTAGCCAATGGCTACAGGAAAACACTGAAATGCTTGAGACTCGTAGCCTTGAGTACAGTTTGCTCTTGGACTCAAGAAATCCCTTCTGCTCATGCAGTTGATAAGAGGTGCCTCATTGACAACATGGGACACTGGATGTTCCACTGGAGTTCTACTTGCAGTAGAAATATAGAAACACAGATCATTTTGAATGATGCCAAATTGCTTAGCTCAGAAAGAACACACACATGCACACATATTTTTATTAAGTCCATCAAGAGAAACTGAATGAAGGTGAAGGGAAGTGGTGGATGGCGTGTGACACACTAAGAACCAATCCTTCTTAAACAAGATTCAGAGCTTGAATACGTTTGCTATCATCACATGAATTGGTACCAACTCTTTCTGCCTGGTACAGCAGCAGTGCATCAGACCACACTTTCTAGCCCAGAAACAGGTTTCATATGCTACTATGATGACCACACAGTGATCTATGTGAAGCAGCACAAGCCATTTTTCCCCTTAAGTACTCATATCAGTCAGCAGATGTGTAGCAGCTGCTCAAGTCAGTACCAGACATGTTTGTGAACACACTTCTGTACAACAATACCATAGAAAACAGACATATGAAGTAGTTGAAGGCATATGCAGCTGAGTTAGTACTTTGGTATCATACCACAGCAATGGGCAGCTTCTATATTCACAGAAGAACCTGGTTGACAGCTGTCAAGATGACTATCAATCTTGGGAATAATTCTGAGCAATGCAATTCAAGATCATAAAACCAGCAAACAGTCTGGAGGTGCTTTCAAATGTACAAAAAGCAGAATGTGTGCATATGCAGCTACATGCAGATAGGACAGCCAAAACTGTAAAAGACTCAATTTTCACCAAGGTTTTTAACTTTTGGTGATTTCATAATGAAAATGCAGGAGTTTGCAGTTATAGTGCAGAGTGTATTCATAACTCATCCAAAAAGAACTAACCGTGCCCCATTTCTGTCTGAGCGTAGGTGCCAATTATCTGGAATCCACGGGCCAGGGGCAGCCATTTCTCTTGCTGGGCAACAGTGCACTGGTTCTGTAAAGTGGGTGTAAACATGCTGTAGTGCAGATCAATGGGTGCACTGTAAGTGCCCATGCACATTCTATGAGAGAGAGAGAGAGGATCACATGAGGCTTTGGCAGATTTCTCTCCTTTTTCCCCCAGGCACACACTGGAATCTTAACAGCCATCTAGCTTGTAAGAACTAACGTTCTAGACAAACAGTAACAATCAAGAAAGATAATGGGAAAACTCATTTCATTACTGCTAAACCCTGTGTCGTGAAGAGTCAGACTCGCCTGTGCGACTGAACAACAACAACAACAACAAACCCTGTGTCAATGGTTCCTTTGAAAAAAAGATACAAAAACATAGTGAAGTTGAATTCAGAACTTTTACACCATTCATGTAATCAGAGAGCTCTCTGCTTGCACTCTGTTTGCAGTACATTCAGCCAGTACATTCAGCCAATCTTGATGATTTAACTTATCTTTGTGTAATAGTTTTAAAGCCCAGTTGGAATTTGTACCTTCAAATCCCCCCCCACCAAGATTTAATCAGAAACCAAAAGAACCCCAAAATACAGCCAGAAGTTATAGAATGTTAACGCCTTTATTTAGTGCATGCTTTGAACAATACTGGAGCTTGTATAGGGTCCTGTGATTCTGACAAAATTGGAAAGATGTGGAAAAGAAGATGGGAGGACAAAGGAAAGAGCCATGAACAGAGCTCAGAAGAACACTGAGACAAACTATGAGTTAAGGATAGACTTTAAACCAGGGGCGTCAAACTCATTTGTTATGAGGGCTGGAACGGACATAAATGAGACCTTGGTGGTAGGCCTGTAGCTACAGAGGGGCTCACCACCCTCCCTTCCACCTGCTCAGACTAAGCAGGAGGAGTGCCCCCTGCATGCCAACCATGCCAAAGCCAGCCGGCAGCCTTTGCCTGGGCCAGTCCCCACTACCTGGGGCTGTGTTGGAAAGCACGTCCATCACAAAGCAGCCCTGTGCCACCAGACAGGGGTGGGACAGAAGAGATCCACAGCGGGAGAGATCCACATCCAAAGCAGGGTTGTCGGTGCTGTGAGGTTAAAAGGGGGCGAGGAGCAGGATGGGGGCTAGTGTGAGTCCCCACAGGGGAAAAAGACAGGTGGGGTGCAAAGGAGGAGCAAAACAACTAAATGAGGGGGGTTGATTAGAGTTCAGGTGCATTTGGAGTGCGGGCGCGTGGCCTGCTTCTCCCTTTTAAATGCTTTGAGGGAGAAGGGGGTGGCCACAAAATTCAGTGCCCCCCAACTTTTAAAAGGTCCCCCCTATTTAAAAAAACCCTGGCTATGGGCCTGCTTGTTGGGCCAGGCCATGTGTGTCATAAAATGCAATGCCAGGTAGTGGAGATATAAACATTATAAAGGATACAAACACACTTAATTTTTTTAAAAAAAACTTTAAATAAAACATGCTTAAAACTCTAGCATTCTTGCAATATTTTGTCTATTAAACCGTCTCTGATAACTGATACCTCTTGCTCTGAATTATTGCATCAAAATATCTGTGCTGTAGCAATCTTGAGTATGCTGCTCAGGTGTGTAACCTGAAAACCTACTTTTGATTTATTGACATTCATTACAGAAATCTCATATTATGTGCTTTTGTACATAAGTTGTTTCATGTGCTGGTCAAGAACATGAGAAGGCATCCTGACACAGACTGAGGGCTATGTGTTTGTCTACAAAACTACAGTCTTCCCCAGAAAAATAACTACAACTCCTATGAGGTAGTGCAAGAATAGAGAGACAGCAATGTATACTGGTCAGTACCAGCCTGCTATCTGGGAAGTCTAAATTCAAAATCCCCAGTCTACAAAGGAAATACGCTGGATGAACTTGGTCTGGACACACATTCTCAGCCTAATCCACCTCACTGGCTTGTTGTTATTCCTCATCTAAACAGTTCACATTGCTTTCCTTCTGAGAAAGACTAGATCATGAGGGCATGAATACAATGAAAAAGGGGAGGGAAAGCAGTTGCATCCAGGAGAGCCCTGGCATAAGGAGCCGAACAAAACACACACTGTAGCAAGGCACACAAAAGCTTATACCTTGAATAAAACTTTGTTGGTCTTAAAAGTGCTTTGTATTTCTCTCATGCAATTGAGGCAGCTGAACAAAGCAAGGCAGGAGGAAGGGGAGGAGTTTCAGCCAATGGGAGGAGAGAAAGGCTTACCTGTGTGATTGAGGCAGCCTGGCCAGGAAGCAAGCTCTGGCTCAATCCCTCCCTTCCTCTGAGAGGGGGAGGGGCCTCAGCAAGTGCAGAGAACAGAAGCTTGCCTATCTATCTCTCCTGTGCAACTGAGTCTGGTAAAGCAAGCTGCGACACAGCAGCAGCTCTGGAGAAAGAAGCAGGAGACAGACAGTTCCTTGCAGGCTGGACAGGAGCTCTTTGAGGGCCTCATCCAGCCCGTGGGCCATATGTTTGACACCTCTGCTTTATACCAACAAAAGTCTATTCCACCTGCTTGAGGAAAATACATCATATGCTTTATTTATTATTTATTTATTATGTATTTAAATTTATAACCCGCCCTCCCCGTGAACGGGCTCAGGGTGGCATACAGATGGGGCCAATGCCCAATACATAAAACATTAAAACTGCATTTTAAAAACATTCAATACAACATAAGTGCTCTCCACAATATCTAACAAGGGAACGTATGACGTCTTCAGGATGGTATCCTTAGTGGCTCGTTGGATAGCCCGTTGCATTTCAGATTAGGGATGGGCAGGAATTGAACTGATGAACTGAAGTTTGTCATGAATTTTGGGCAGTTCATGAAGCCATGTTCATGAACTGAAAAACCACCCATTTTATTTATTTTTATTTATTCATTCAAATTTATACCAATTTTGATACAGTTCATGGCGATTCGTGTAGTACAGAAAGCAGAGATTTAAACCCCTGATTTCTGCTCTTCATGAAAAACAGCTCCTCACCATTTCACTTGTTTGGCTTTCTACTCCTCACAGCTTTTCAAGAGGAGCAGAGAGCAGGGGTTTAAATGGCTTCAAGCCTGGGGCTGGCTGGCTGGGGCTTTCTTCGGCAGCCAGCCCCAGGGGTTGGCTACCCAAGAAAGCCCCTTTAAATAGATGAGCTATGCAGAGCAAACTGCTCCATGTGGATAAGCTGTGGCTAGCTGCCCAAGAAAGCCCCTTTAAACAGCTGAGCCATGCAGAGCAATTCGCTCCACGTGGCTCAGCTGTTTAAAGGGGATTTCTTGGGTTCAGCTCCAAGCCATTTAAACCAAACAGCTGAGGGGGACACCACCACTCAGTTATTTGGTTTAAATGGCTCAGAGCTATTTAAACCCCTGCCTTCTGCTCCCTGAACCCATCTGAACCAGTTCAGTTTGTGAACCAAGCTCCCAGTTTGTACAAATTTGTGGTTTGGTTCATGGTTCAGCCACCAACTGCACTATAAAAATGCAGTTCATGCCCATCCCTATTTCAGATCCCTCTGTTACAGAAAGGCTTGCCAGACAGTTAAATATTTAATACAGTCAAAGACCCATAAATAGCCACCAAAGCCATTAAAACAAAAAGGATCTACAATTCAGCCAAACACCCCTTTTAAAATCTTAAGCATAACATTAAACTAGGCACTTCCATCTAAAAATTGTTGACAATATCTTATGAACTTCACAGCGAATGTTGCAGAAAGGCTTGCATTTATGATGTACAGAAAGCCAAAAACTGCAGCTTGCATCCCAGAATGACTCTAGTCTGATCTTCTTAGACAATGTCATACAAAGGAATCTAGATGTGCCTCCAATACTGCAGCAAGCAATGTAGTGCATATTATCTCAAGTTATGGCTCACTACAACTGGGGAACTATTAGCAACTACCATGGGTTTTTCTTTAAGAAGACATTATTAATCAGATGGTGATTGTTTACAGATGTCAACAGTCTCACTTTATGAAAGCTATTTAACAGACAGGACTAGGCATTTTCTTATACTTCGAGAGCAAGGAAGAATGCCATCACATGACCCGATCTTCAGCTTTTACTTGACAAACTGATTGGTTATTAGCAGAAGGAATTTCCATGCATTTCTCAGTACAGCACTTGCCATTTAGCTCTAATAATTCTGCATATTATTAAGAAATCTTGCTGCCAGTGATGAAAGCTACCACAGCCTTAAAGGAGAGTGAACTTTAGGAACATAAGAAATGTCCTGCTGGATTAAACCAGTGGCCCATCTAGTCCAGTTTCCTGTCTCACATAGTGGTTAATCAGTTCCTTTAGAAGGCCAATAACAGGGCATAAACGCTGATGTTTCCTCCTAGCTCTGGGATTCAGAGTTTCAGTATCTCTGAACGTGGAGGTTCCCCTCAGTCATCATGACTAGTAACCACTGATAGATTCCATTAATCTATCTAATCCCCTTTTAAAGCTATTTATTCCTGTGGCTATCACCAGGGGTCTTTGGGGGCCAGAGCACCGCTTTCGCAGCCTAGGAGCCGGTACAAATGGTGGCACGGCAAGCCCTACCCCCAGCTTCCCGTGCCAAAGGGCTAGGGCTAGGGCCAGGGGGAGGCCTGGAAAGCCCTGCAGCCGGGTCCCCCAGGCCCACGCAGAAGCGCTTTCATTCCCTCCTTTCCTTCTCTCCTTTTCCTCTTTCCCCCCTTCCCTTCTCTCTTTCTTTCCCACCTTCTTCTCTTCTCTTTTTCCTCCTTTCCCTCTTTCCCCCCTTCTTCCCTTCTCTTTCTTTCCC